TAGTGCTATTGCCCGCTTCCGTAACTCGGTGTATATCGATTGAGCCAGCGAGAACTTGGTTGATTTTGTGCATAGGGGTATATGCAGACTATATAAATCTTCACTCCCCAGTTAGAAATTGCACACACATACACATACATATACGAACATACACACACTCACGCACACATGCACACACACACACACACACGCACACACACACTCAAACACACACACACGCGCGCGCGCGCACACACACACACACACACACACACACACACACACACACACACACACACACACACACACACACACTCAAACACACACAGACACGCACACACACACATACACACACAGACACTCTCTCACACACACACATACACACACATACACGAATACACACATACACACACACACACTCAATCACACACACACACACATAATTCCATTTCCCCTTATCTTATTATCAGTGATAATCCTGCGTATTCTATTAGCTCTAAGAATCTAAGTATATGGACATAATTGGTTTGAGATTTCGCTTATGAACAAATATTCACAGCCACCATCCTCACTCGCTAAAGACACACCATTGTGAATTCACTTTTCTTAAGCATTGACACATCACCCAACATACACTTGCTTTTGTTAAGTTACTTGCATACATCTCCTTACCATTCGTTTGAACTAGAGACAGCTTGGTTCATTTAATCTAAGAGAGGAAAATTACAACCATATCCCTGTACCATCAACCACGCAAGCACTTGTAAAGTTTCTTCCCTACACTAACGCCCTTGAAGTAGAGATAACCTGATTTTATGCAAGGAGTAAAATCTCACACCTACAATATATTTCCTCGTCACCAAACACACACACGCACTTGTAAAAGCACTTCCCTCCATCAATTCATCACTGACAAGTACAGTACACATGGTCACTGTAGCGAGAATGGGGAGGTATTTTCGAGTGCAAAAGGCCCTGAGCGCAATGCTCTTTCTCATTCTTCCTGTGTGAGTGTGTGTCTGTCTCTGGCTTCCTGTCACTTTCTCTCTCTCTATCTATCTCTCTATCTATTCATCTATCTATCTCTGTCTGCTTGTCTCCGTGTCTGTCTGCCCCCCTCCTCTCTCTCAATCTTTCTCTCTCTATCTATCTATCTATCTCTTCATCTATCTATCTCTGTCTGCTTGTCTCCGTGTCTGTCTGCCCCCCTCCTCTCTCTCAATCTTTCTCTCTCTATCTATCTATCTATCTCTTCATCTATCTATCTCTGTCTGCTTGTCTCCGTGTCTGTCTGCCCCCCTCTTCTCTCTCTCTCTCTCTCTCTCTCTCTCTCTCTCTCTCTCTCTCTCTCCCCCCCTCTCTCTCTCTCTTCCTCTCTCCCTTTCTCTATCTCTCTCTTTCTCTCTCTCTTCCTCTCTCTCTCTCTTTTTCTCTTTCTCTCTCTCTCTCTCTTTCTCTCCCCTCTCTCTCTCTCTCTCTCTCTCTCTCTCGCTCTCTCCAATCCACACAGCACAACTCCGTGTGGTATTGACAGTGAAAATATTACCTTCGCCATATCACCTCATGCTCTATTTCCCTCTTCGGATCTTCTACCATTTCTCTTCAGCGTACTCCGTTTGTGTCTCCTTCTTCATATTAGTTTCTCTTTTTCTTTCTTTCTTTCTTTTAATCTTATATGGAAAGCTTATGGAATTTTATCTTCATTGGTTCCTTTTCGTGTCTCTTCTTCCTGCAATCCGTCTCTGATCTCTTCCAATACTTTCTTCACTCTTCTTTTATCGTATTTTTTTATGTTCTCTTCTTCTTGCTTTCTGTCTAACACCTTTATACCACATTAGCTTTTGGGATCCACTGTCATTTGTATTCCTCGTCATCTTTCTTTACAATCTATCCTCTCACTCTTATAATAACCATCAGTATTCTATATCTTCTTTCTGTATTCTCTCAGTCCGATACATACGTCAACATCAATATTCCTCAGCCTCCTTTTCTCTCTACTTTCCCCGTCCTCATCCCCATACTCTAATAGCACTTTCAGTCGCATAGGATTTCTGATTTGCATCACCGCACCCGTCGGTTACTTTCAACGTCTGCTACTTTCCCCGTCAGTTATTTCTCCGTCTGCTACTTTCCCCGTCGGTTATTTCTCCGTCGGTTACTCTCCCCGTCGGTCATTTCTCTGTCGGCTACATTCCCCGTCGGCTACTTTCCCCATCGCCTACTTTCCCCTACGGCTATTTTCCCCGACGGCTACTTTCCCCTCTGTATCTCATCTCGGGCACGACAGCGAAACGCGTTAGTCACGCTCCACACGCTTTCCTTCGGACGTGCCTGTCTCCCCTCGTTGTCTGACCCGTATTTATAACCAGGAAGGCGAGAAGAAATCCAGACCTTATTTGAGCGTGAGGTTTGTCTCCGTCGTCTGAAAGGTTTGTTTCGGAGAGATTCGAAACCCGAGTGCCGAGACTTGAGGAGGATTCGAAACTTTTTTTTTGTGTGTGTGTGAAGCATTTGAGTTGTT